CCGCCCGCCCCGTCCCCCGCTCCCTCTCCTCTTCATCATGGCCGATTCTACCACCCCGTCGCCCTCGACCCCGACCGCCGCTCCCATGCTCGACCTGCCGCTGGCGCCGTTGTCTCTGTCACCGTCTGCCCCTCACGCGCGCCCGTCGTCGCTGCTGCGCTCCCCGCTCCTCGCTCTCAACCCCGTCTTCCCCTCTTCGCCCCGTCTGTCTCTGTCGGACCGCACCCCTAGCACCCCTCCCCCGAGCCCCGCCCTCAACCGCCCCACGCACGTCCAGAGAGTAGCGCGCGCTACGCGCGAGTTCAGGGACGTGTGGATCGTCCCGGAGTGATCTGTCCTGTTCCGCCCCCCTCAATCGCTTGCCACCCCGTCTGCCGCCTCACTTCATGTCGCACGACTGGTGCTTGCTTCCTCCTGCCGCTTTGGGATCCCTGTATTTTGTCTGCTACCTTTTCCATGTCTGCTGCTGTGGTGCTCTCACTCGTACCGTACTCTCTGCACTGTAGTTGCTAGTCTCAATTAAATATTTCTTCGAACGTGTTGGAAACACTGAAAATCGTGTCTCAAAAAAACAATCCCAATTCCGCTTTCTCACTCGCCCCCCATTTCCGCCTTGTCCAATTCAATCTCGTCCCGTCGCGCACCGCCCCTTCGACCGTCCCCTCCGCCATATCCGCCCCGTCCTCCGTGCGCCACCCGCCCGCGCCGCGCGTTCCAATGCCGGCTCCAATGCCGGCCCCGCTGCCCGCCCTCCCCCCCGAGCTGCTGCCGCTAATCTGCCGCCACCTCGTCACCGCCCGCGATCTGTGCGCGCTTGCGCAGGTCTCCTCGCCCTTCAACCACGAGCTCACGGCCGCGCACGCGGACCCTCTCTGGCGCCGCGTGTGGCTGCACCTCGCCCGCCTCCCCCCCGACGCCCTCCTATGGGCCCGCGTCGCGGGCTCGTGGCGCCAGCAAGTCGCCGCCTCGTTCCACCTCGCCCGTCTGCCGCGCGCCCTGCAAGACCCCCCGCCGCCCGCGCGCCCCGCCGTCCTCTTCGTCCCGCCGCGCTACGCTCCCGACGGCTCCGTGCGCCCCGACGACCGCGTCCGCACCAGCCCCAGGAACATCGATGTCGAGGACGTCCTGGGACGCGCCGTCGCTGTCGTCGCGCTTGGATTTTGTGTCGTCGTCGGCTTCGAGAAGGGCATCGCCTTTTTGAAGAGGAACGCCCCCCAAAAGCCTGCCGCTACACCGCGGGGAAAGTTTGCGAGGCTGAGAAGTCTCGAGCGCGCCACCCTATTTTATGAGAATCAACCGCAGTTGGGCGCCGTCCTCATGTTCTCGCACCAGCCGCAGGGCGACAACGGCACCATCGTGGCTGCCATGTCCACAGACGTGCTGATCAGGATCGACGTCGACCAGGATAATCCCAAGGCGAAGAGGCCATTGAAATGGACCATCATCGATTCGTTCATGGAAATCGCCGCCGTCGTCGAAGTCACCACGTCAGAGGACGGCGTGTATGCTCTGGTCGGCTTTGCGAGCGGCAGGGTCCGGGTCGTGCACATTGCGCAGGGAGGCTGTCGAAGGGTGTTGGTGATGCGCGAGTCTGCCGAGATGATTGTCGCGAACGGGCGCTGGCTGCTTGCCGCAAATTCCTTCCCACCGATCGCATGTGGCGTGTGGGAAATAGAGGACGGGCGACCCGCCCACGACTTCACGTGCACGTCGATCGGGTGGGAGGAGATCACCTCGATCGCGGGTCTCAGCGCGACGCGCACAGACTACCTGTTCGCGATCTGGAACGGGCACAGCGCGATCCGCATCCTCAACGCGAAGACGGGCGACTTCTGCAGGATCATCCGCGTGAACTCGACGTTTCTCAGGTGCCCGCGCAGCGCGACCGAGGAGGCCGAGCACGGCGCCGTGTCGCCGCACGTGGGGCGGCGCAAGATGATCATGAGCGCGGACCGGAAGACGGCCGTCGTCGCGACGTCCAACCGCGCGTTCGTCGTGCCGCTCAGTCCCGCCGCACGGCCGCAGGAGATGCGCCAGCTGGACGGCGCAAAACGCGCGCTGCTCGCCTTGTCTACAGACGATCGCGTGCTCGTCACGGCGGAAAGCAACGTGTTTGGCAGCCTGGGGAGCAGGGTGTTGGGCCGGGCGTCGCTGGCGAGCGAGCCGCTGCTCAGGTTCTGGGATGTCGCCTCCGGACGCCTGCAGGGCGATATCGTCACCCCCTCTACTGTGACCTCAGTTTCGACCGCAGGGGACATTGTGGCGGCGGTTGCAGGGGCCGTCGGACAGGTCATGGTCGCATTTTCGACTCCACAATAGTAACAAGAGGAAAGAAAAGACGAGCGACATATATAAATACTACGGCAAGGAGAATAAAATGCATCACCACGTTTCCCGGGTACGTATATTCTTTCCTTGTACACTTCCAACACAAGTCCGATCTTCATATCGAAAAATCAAATCCTGCAGAATGCGTGTCAATCGCTCAGAGATAAATCACACTTCGTCGTATCCCTTGGGGCACATATCAAGTTCGTCCTTGTCCAAAAGGTTGATCAAAGCCCGTCTGACAAGTCAAGAGCGCACAAAACAAGTCCCACACGTTCCGATATCCCGGGCATTCAGGTTTTGCACATAGAAACTGCAATAGAGCGCAAGATTTATTTTCATATCCCTGCACGCTGTTGCTTGTCCTTCACGCTTTGAACAATATCACCCGATTCAAAGCTCGCCCAGTCCATGAGTCCAATCCCACATTCAGAGCCCTTCTTCACAGAGCGCACGGCTTTCGCAAAGTGCTTGATGCTCTCAATGGTGCCAGAAAACACAACTTCCGGTTCTGTCACTCCCGTCTTGGCGTCTGGGAGTCGCAGGACTCGTGCACCATCCCCAATCGATAACTCCCCATCTTTGACAGAGCAACCCGCAATCCTTCCCTCCTCAAAGACTCGTACCACCGATGCTGATCCAACCGGTTCTTCCACCACCCGGTCTAGATTGTAAATCTTCTCCAGCTCTTGCTTTAATTCATCTTCAAGATGGTATATCAGCTTGTGCGAGAGAATCGCTACTCCAGCTCGTCTAGCAAGTCGCTTTTCGTTTTCCCTGACCCGAACGTTGAACGCAATAATCATCGCCTTCTCACTGTTTCCCTTTGCTCGTCCTGGCGCAGACGCAATCTTCACATCCATCTCAGTCACATCCCCAACGCCAGCGTCTAGAATCCGAATTGGGTATCGCGCTATTTCCATCGCTTGTACGCATTGAGCGACCGCGTCAGCACTTCCCTTCACATCGCCTTTCACAATGATCGCAATTAGGCGGCCCACTGCGTTGTCCTCAGAAACTGCTGTGTCACTATCAGCAGCACCCGAAGAATCCAACAATGGCGGTACTTGCACGGCATCAGCGATTTTTTCTTCCCTTTCTGCACAAAGAGAATTGGCGAGTTCAATTGTCACAGTAGCTTCTACATTCCTTGCAAGCATCTCCTGTGATTTCGCTCGGGCAGCCTTCTCGTTGACTTCGACACAAAACTCAGCGCCTGGTGGGATTGGGTCTCTGAGCCCAATCAAACCAGCAGCGACACCTGGCTCAACTACGTCAAGTTGCGTTCCATTTCTGTCTACAAGACTTCTTATTCGGCCGAAGAGATCACCTCGCAGGGCCTTTGGTGACTGGAACACGACATGCTGTCCCGGTTTCAGTATTCCAGAGCGCACCACAACGGTTGCTACAGAACCGAAAGCCCTATCCAGTCGCGACTCTAGACAAATTCCTGCACCGCGAGCCGAAGGGTCGGATTTCAAATCGAGCATTTCGGCCTGCAAGGATATAGCCTCCAGCAATTGCGGCAGGTTGGTCCCGTTCTTCGCTGAGATATCTACGCATTGTACGTCCCCTCCCAGCTGCTCCGTGTTGATACCAAGAGATTCGAGCAGCTGGTAACGCACGCGCTCAGGGTCCGCCCCTGGCATATCGCACTTGTTGATTGCAACTATCACGGGCACGTTTGCGGCACGAGCAAGGTTTCCAGCCTCGACTGTCTGTGGCATTACACCGTCGTCTGCTGCAACTACCAAAACAACAAGATCCGTTGCAATCGTTCCGTTTGCTCGCATTGATTTGAATGCTGCATGCCCTGGTGTGTCAATGAACGTCGCAAACTTAGAGTGTGCTTCCTCACGATTGTTTCCATCAATGGGCACTCGAAAGGCTGCCACATTTTGCGTAATACCTCCAACTTCATGATCTGCTACATCGCTCTTCCGCAGTGCATCAAGTAAAGATGTCTTCCCATGATCAACGTGACCCATAACAGTCACAACAGGCATGCGTGGATGCAAGGGATCTTTGCTCAATTGATTATCTTGCAGGAGCGGCAGCGTCTGTGGACTAAATTCTACATTGAGGTTAAGCTCTTCGCAAACAAGCTCTATCAATGCAGGAGTGAGAACAGTCGCAGAGTTGCGTGTCGATTCGTCTAACTCCTTTGCGCTCTTAAATACCAGGTCGTCACGGACATTCGCAAGAACCGCAAGCTGTTTTGATGAAAGACCAAGTTCCGGCAGAACCAATTTGCGCGGCGGGATCGCACGAGGAGGTCGGCGCTGTTTGTTTCGTCCCGTCTTTCGATGCGAGGTATTCCCGCCAAGCTGCCCTGCAGTCTTTGTAGGCTTCTGACCCTTCGGGGTCGCCCCCGATCGCAGTACCTTCTTGTAATTCCCCGGGTCTTTCCTCACTTTGGCCGATGTAGAAAGCGTTCTTGCCAGTACGCCAGGCTGCTGTCTTGACCATCGAGTGAAGACACTTGACGACGCTTGAGAGAAGCGAAGATAGACGCTCATGTTTTAATGGTCATCAGATCTTGGTCAAGTGACACGTGAACTTCGGTGAGCAATATCCAGACTCAGGGATGCGGGGCATTGACCAAATTTCCAGGTGTGCTGGGCAGTTGTAAGCATCGAGTGACGGCAATCTATCAGATCAGACTCTGTCGGCCATACGAAACCTTTGACAAGCGTAGAAGTGACTGCTGTGAAGCTTCACCACAGATTCGGGCACAGAGTATTTCCAAGATGCGGGAGGCACAACTGTTTGAAATACTCAACGCGGGCATTACTGCAATATAATAAAACACGCAGACCTGAATTTCTCAAAATAATTTCTTTGAGAATTAATGCAGCTGCCCGTCATGGTCCAAAGTCGGATACTCTGAGTCTTGGAGATAGTCGACGCGTAAAACAATCGCAGTCCAGCCCCAACAAACGGAAGAGCGAGCGGCCGCTAAGTCCCATCTCCCTTGATACAAACGTCTTTGGGACAAACTGTTGCTGACTCGAAGGTCCCTCAAGTCACCGCATAAATCGCGGTCCCCGCCTAGGCGTCACGAGCCGGGATTTCTAAAATACTCATAATTGACCTGTCACACCCGGCAACCCTTTGCGAAGTGGCGAGTAGGACACAATCTTTGCGTTGGCATTTTGCTCCGCCGTTATCAACTTGGGGTGCGGACCTAGGACTTGCGTCTCCGCATCGCCGCACTTCCCGCTTCCACCTGAAGGCCACTTGGCCCAATACTGTATTACAGAGAACTTTATCTCGCTTTTGAATGACTGTTCATCGGTCTGCTTATCCACACAATTCGGCTACTCATGGCATCTTCCGATGATGACTACCGCATCGAAGAAGCGTCTCCAACGGGTGGTAAGGTTTTCAATGACCCAAAGGAGGGCGAAATGTTACGACGCAGTCTCCAGTACCTCGCCCAGAGAGTGGGAGGTGCTGTCCTTTCTGGAAATGTGAACTTCACCCGTATGTCGATGCCAGTACATCTCAACGAGCCACGGAGTTTACTCGAGAGAATCACAGATGACTGGGCTTACGCACCCCACTTTCTCATGGCCGCTGCTCGTTCGAAAGACCCTGTTGAACGCTTAAAGTTGGTGGCCGCTTTTGTCGTTTCAGGCCTTCATTGTATGAAGACACTAGGCAAGCCATTCAATCCTATTCTAGGTAGCACCTATCAAACTACTCTTGACGATGGAACCCCGTGTTATGTTGAGCAGACTTCCCACCACCCGCCAGTCACCCATTACTATATCAAGCCGGAATCTGGAGAGTATTTGCTCGCAGGTTTCAGCGGTATAGACGGCAGGGTCGCCTGGGGTTTGGATACAGGACTCAGTACAAGACGAATCGGTATAAATGTCGTACAGTTTGCAGATGGGACGCGAATAGTCTACAATTTACCGCGTATGCTCGTCCGAGGCCTGGGCGCGGAGCGCAAAGCAGAATTTTTAGGTCCATTCAATGTGCTTTATGAAGCGCACAACCTTGTCTTTGATTTCTTACTGGATCCACCTCAACCGTTCTGTTGGTCTCCGTTTGGTGCGACTACGCCATCCGATTATATGGACGGCGTACTTTATCGTCTATCCCAGAACGCAAGCCCTGAGAATGACTCAATCGTGTTTACGGGTGCGTTTCAAGACCGAAAAGGGGCATTCTTTGGCAACCCAGACGAGGCAAGAAAGATTGCTAACGAGGAAAACTACACTGCTGTTGAGCTCCGCACAGATGAGCAAGTATCACTCTCTGTAACATCCGCGACGCAGGAGCGCAGCAGCAGCAAACCCTCGGCAGAACAAAACGAAGCAACGGATCGTGAAATCATATGTTTTGCACGTGGTTCGTTCCTGGGGTATTTCGACGTGGATGGGACACGTCTGTGGGATATTCGCCACACTCCAAAATCGGAGCTCACGCCAAGCAATATGGAAAATGCGATCGGAAGTGACTGCCGGTATCGTGAGGACGTGGATATGCTTCGCAAGGCATTGGATGAGGTCAATGATGAAGCGACCAGGGAGAGGCTAACGGTCGAAGCGCAGGCGTTGAAGGAAAAGCTGGAAACCATTCAAAGGGCTGATCGAAAGTGGCGTAAAGAAGGGCTTATCAATGAAACAGAAAAGAAAACTCTATCAGATGGAGGGAAAATAGGAAGCGTCCAAGACGAGTGTTCCTTTGATGTGAGTGGCGGACAAATGTTGAGAGACGGCATTGGTGGTACGGTGGAAGAAACCCCCTTTTTCCCAACATCGTTGCAAGCATAAAACGGTGATGATGTTCTTCTTTCCCATTCGAAGAAAGCATTGACAAGCCCCTCGCGATCTGGCAGGTAGGCCCGAGCAGTTGTATTTATTAATGTTAAGTCTTTTTACTATACCGTACGCCACTAGCGCTGCATCATGATCATGAAACAGTTACCAATTTTGACTCTACTATATAGTGCCGTATTCCACGCAGCGATCGTCCAGAACAAGGTTTGTTGTGATGACACACCGCTGCGTGCCAATGTTGCATCGACGTCAACAACGACCGCTTCATTGGGGTGTCTTGTACTAAGCCGTGTTGAGTAGGAGAAGTGGTATATCGTTAGATAAATGATGCACTGAAGAGCGTATGTACAGACAACACGATAGAAAGAAAGGGCGTTCCATCGCTATGGACCTATCGGGAAACCTTCAAGAAAGACGACAATGGCGACCTTTGAAATTGCCACATGACTTAGCTATTCGAACGAGAGCAAGTGGAAGATGACAGCATTGCAAATGTAAGCTGACCTTTGAAGGCTATTGTAAACAACTTAAAAAAATTACGAAGCCTCTCGCACCCTGCACTACAAGCATTGCAAATGTGCTGAAGGGCTTACAATTGCAGTTTTAAGTGAGAGATGCAATAGTCAATGCGTTCTGATTTCTACGAGTGCTGTACAATAACAACGTTTTACTCTTGAGCTTCGGTAGCTGCAGCTCATTCAGAAATATGTACACGTGGGACCTTGCTGTCAAAACAGGCACCGGATACAGTAGAAAATAAAAATCCTGCCTTACAGTATGGGGAGGAGGCACAAAATCGAAAGGGACAAGAGCAAAGTGCTTTTTTATTTGCAGCGATACTTTACTACAGTTTGGTCATGTGCTTTTAACGTGACATCGGCCAATTGCAGAGTACAGGGTATTATTGTGATGCGAATTACAGTACCATAGAATGACTGTGGTTGATACAGTAGATACTGTACTTTTGTTCTTCAGATGAGGTGTGAGGGAGGTTGAGGGGTCCTCCCTGCAGTTGCCGACTTTCCGAGGCGGTTCAGTCAGAATTTCAGAGAGCTGGTTTTGGTAGGTTAAACGCACAGGGTCTGCACGAAGACAAATACTGCAACAACTGGGACAGAGAGTGGCTCATTGGCAATGACGAACATCGCCATGTGAGGGGGTGTGCAAAAGTGGCGTCAGCAAGGGCAGCGGTCGCGAAGGGGCTCGCAAGTCACAGAACTCGTTGGATTCGCTTCTGTCTCGAACTCTTCGTTCGGAACGGCCCCTCAGGGGTTGCCTGCGCAAGCCACTGTAAATTTATGTTCCAGGACCAGCGAGGCCGCACATCCTCTTGGTCCTTTGACCGTTTGGGAACCACATTTGGTTTGGGAACCAAAGGTGCTGAGCGCACTTTTAATTGTTTATGCGCTCGTGCTAAAAGTCGAGACCTTTGTGCCTCAACGGAAAGTGCTCCCTCATAAAAATATTATGAATAGTATGCCTTTGCAGCGCGGCATGCCATTGGTCTGCGCGGGCCGGGCGGCTGGCCCTTTGGTGCCCGTCCCATTCTTTCAAAGACGGCCCTTCCACTTTCTCCCTCCCAGC